CCCCCCCCAAACAAAAAAACACCCAAAAAATTAGACTAGCTCTATCATGTTCAACAAGAACACAGAAGTAATAAGATCCCCCTGACAAAGAACAGCCACAGACCAGATGGCTCCATTGCCAAATCCTACCAGCCCTGAATGGAGATCTAATGCCAATGCCCCTAAGTATTCTGAGGAAGAAGAGATTGAACCCTACTGAACCCTTTCTAACAAGCCAGCATTTCCCTGATACCAAAACCAAGGTAAGGATACAAAAACAAACAAACATAAAACTCCACCAATTTTCTTTTCTTTTCTTGTCAGTCATGGGGCCTGAAATCTGGGCCTGGGCGCTGTCCCTCAGCTCTTCAGCTCAAGGCTAGTGCTCTACCATTTGAGCCACAGTGCCACTTCTGACTTTTTTCTTTTTTCTTATGTGGTGCTGAGGAATCGAACCCAGGGCCTCATGCGTGCAAGGCAAGTACTCTATCACTGAGCCACCTTCCCAGCCCCTCCACCAATTTTCCTGATGAAGGTACATCCAAAACTGCTCAATTAACACTCCAGTTGAGCCCAACAAAATTAGACACTGATGCTATTCTGAGAATGCAAGGAAGATTCCTCAAGTAATCAATTTTCAGATGTGTCCAGTAGCCTGGCAAAACCAGGACTGCCACACAGAGCCCCACACCTGTCCCTTGTGTGCCCGGCTGGCATTTCCATATCTTCTCCATCCCTTCCCCTCACCCTCACACAGTGTAAGCTCACCTGCCATTGCAGGGCTAAGCAATGCTCCCTGTAGCCAACGTGGTGAGTTCTGCTGAAGCTCTGGAGTCCAAATGCCCCAAGGTGCCTATGAATTCTGTATTTAAGCAAACCTGGTGATCCCCACCCTAATCTCATGTCCATCCTTCTCTAATTCTCGGCTTAGGACAACCACTCCCTGCTCTTCTGGGTTGGGTGGAAAAGAAGATGGCAATTGAAGGCCTATTCCTCAAAAAGCCCCAAGCCCCAAAAGAAAGTCATATTTAAAAGCAAAAGACAAGAACAAAAACAAACCATAATCTTGGCTGAGTACTGGTGGCTCACACCTGTCATCCTACCTACTCAGCAGGCTGAGGATCATGGTTCAAAGCCAGCCCTGGGAGGAAACTCTGTGAGATTCCTTTTTTGTTTCTTAGTTTTGTTGTTGCCAGAGGCTTGAACTCAGGGCTTGGGTGCTGTCCCTGAGCCTCTTTGTGTTCAAGGTTAGCACTCTACCACTAAAGCCACAGTGCTAATTCTGTCTTTTTCTGAGTAGTTTATTGGAGATAAGAATCTCATTTTTTTTAGGCTAAGCACTGGTGGCTCCCACCTGTAATCCTAGCTACTCAGGAAGCTGAGATCTGAGGATCACAGTTCAAAGCCAGACTGTTCAGGAAAGTATGGGAGACTTTTATCTCCAATTAACCACCAGAAAACCAGAGGTGGTGCTATGCTCAAGTGGTAGAGTGTTTGCTTTTAGTTGAAGAGTTCAGGGCGCTGTCCCTCAGCTCTTCAGCTCAAGGCTAGCGCTCTACTACTTGAGCCACAGCGCCACTTCTGGCTTTTTCTGTTTATGTGGTACTGAGGAATTGAACCCATGCCTGTTATTCAAGCATGAGTGGGTAGGAGATTAGGGAGTGTCCCAGAGGGTGGAGACCGCCAGCATTCTACTTAAATACAAACTTCATAGACATGTGGGGCATTGGAACTCCAGAGCGCCATCAGAACTCACCTGGCTGGCACAGCAGGCATCACTGAGGCCTCCACGGTAGGTAAGCTGGCACTTGTGGGCAGCAAAGGGGGCACAGGGAAGGGCATAGAGAAGCTCAGAGGACGTAGGACTGGGATGGGATTTTGTCAGGCCAATTGCAGTGTTAAGAACTGGTTATCTGGGCTGGGAAGGTGGCTCAGTGATAGAGCGCTTGCCTTGCATGCCTGAGGCCCTGGGTTCGATTCCCCAGCACCACATAAGCAAAAAAAAAAAAGCCGGAAGTGGCACTGTGGCTCAAGTGGTAGAGCGCTAGCCTTGAGCTAAAGAGCTGAAGGACAGTGCCCAGGCCCAGAGTTCAGGCCCCATGACTGGACCCAAAAAACAAAAACAAGAAAATTGATGGGGGCATTTTGTGTCTTTTTTGTTTTGTTTTGAGCCTATATTGGGGTTAGAACTCAGAGTCTGGGCACTGCCCTCTTGTTGCTCAAGACTAGCACCCTACCCCTTGAGCCACAGCTCCAGTTCCAGATATTTTTTCCAGTCCTGGAGCTTGAACTCAGGGCCTGGGCACTGCCCGTGAGCTTCTTTTGCTCAAGGCTAGCACTCTACCACTTGAGCCAACAGCTTTTTCAGTTTATGTGGTCCTGAGGAATTGAACCCAGCACTTCATGCATGCTAAACAAGCACTCTACCACTAAGCCATATTCCCAGCCTAGATTTTTAATTTTTGATAGTTGATTAGAAATTAGTCTCATGGACTTTCCTGCCCAGGCTGGTTTTGAACTGAAATCCTCATCTCAGCCTCCTGAGTAGCTAGGAGGACTGGCCTGAGCCATCGGCACCTGGCTGGATCTGTTTTATTCTTCCAATCATTGTTAGCTGAAATGTGTTCACACACTTTCTCCTTGCTGGCATTGAACCACAGTTCTCCTGCTCTGTGTTCCTCAAAGAGCAGAGATGATAGCTGTCCACCCTCAGCAAAATCTGGACTCTTTTGGGGGGTAGGGGACAGAGGAAGGCCAGCAAGATGGCCAGGAGCAGGGCCCAGGCCGCCCTGTCCCACCAGCTACTGGTCCTCGGAGCAGGCTCAGGCAGCAGGACCCCAGATGGAGGCTTGTCAGGAACCTGTCCTGTGTGTCCTCTCTGCTGCAGACCAGGTGCCAGCTTCTCGCCGGAGACGCACCAGATTCACGGAGCACCAGCTGTTCGAGCTGAGAAAGTGGTTCTCACTCACCCAGCGCCCCAGGTGGGAAGAGATCCAGGCCCTGGCCTCAAAGCTGCAGCTGGACCAGTCAGTGGTGAAGGTGCGTGCCCGTCCATGTGTCACCCCCAAACCCAGGGCCTCCCCCAACTTTATCTTCCACTCCTGACACTTGCCAGGAGCAGGCAGGGCCCAGCACATCCATGGGGGACCACTGGGCTCCCCCAGACAATTATCTTTCAGGAAGGGTCTCCCTATGTGCTGACATTAGAACCTTTTCTAGGCCCCACTAGGTGGAGGGAGAGAAGAGTCTCTGGTGCTCTGATCTCCTTTATTCACGCACACCCCTTTCTTTTTTTTGGGGGGGGTCTGGTCATGGGGCCTGAACTCTGGGCCTGGGCGCTGTCCCTCAGCTCTTCAGCTCAAGGCTAGCGCTCTACCACTTCAACCACAGCGCCACTTCCGGCTTTTTTCTTTTTGTTTATGTGGTACTGAGGAATCGAACCCAGGGCCTCAGGCATGCAAGGCAAGCGCTCTACCACTGAGCCACCTTCCCAGCCCCCACACTCCTTTCTTCCCTACCCCAGGCTTGGTTTAAGAACCAGGTGTCCAAGTTGCAGCAGCAGCAGCAAGCCAAGGAGCTGCCTGTGTCCCCAGCAGCTTCCCCTGGCCAGGCCACCACCGAGGCCCAGATCCCTGGGGCTCCCACCCTCAGCCCCCAGCTGCCTTCCAAAAGTGGGGCCCACCAAGGCCCAGAGCAGCTCCAGCAGTCTGTAGCACCTGAGGCCCCCAGACTCGGTTTCTTGCCACCTTCTCAGACCCTGGAGGCTTTGGAGGTACCCCTTCCCTGCAGTACAGAAGAGCTTCTCCACATCTATGCCACATCAGAGGCGGAAGACTTCTCCTGCCTGGAGAAGTATCTTTTTGGGGAATCTGCATTGCTAGACCCGCACAGCCCCAGCACGAGGCCAGACAGCTCTGTGCCCCAGCTCTGGACTCACTCCTCTCTCCACCCAAGTGTATCTCCTTCCTTTCCTGTAAGATCCAAATAAACCTTACCCCTGCCCCCTGCATCATTGTCTGCCTCTTGTGTTCTTGCCTTGAATTCCTGTCACCTCCATTTCAGGATCCAATATGATTTGGTCCGCGGTTTTTTGGTAGGCAAACCTTTCCCCTTTTGGACCCAAATGCCATCCCCACCCTTGCTCAGGACCCACTGCTGTTTCTGCTCATGAGCACATTGAACAGGCTGTGTCCAGCTCTTCATGGTTAGGGAGAAATCCCAGTTTCTAGAAGAAGAATAGCTATGGGATCTGGGGCTGGAAATACGACTTCCAAAGAGCGAGACAATCCATCAAGGCACAGTTAGAGATAACATTTATTTATATTATTTACACCAGAAAGGGGGCCTGTGACTACCTAGTCCTGGGCTGGACACCCAGAACCAAGAGCAGCCTCCACCACCAAACCTCCAAGCCTCCAATAGGCAGCCCCCACCTTTATTAGTCTACAAACCACCAATTAGTCACTCCCTAAACCTCCAATCCCAGACCTCCAAAGCTCCAAAGCTCCAAAGGGGAAGGCTTTTCCTTTTCTTCCCTTCCTCCTTCTCTGCAGCCTCTCCACTCTCCACAGGCCTGCCCTGCCCTGCTCCAGGAGGTGCCTCTCCACAGGCCTCTCTCTAGAGGGAGGTCCCAAATGACCTCCGGAGGAGGCCTGCCCTGCTCCACTTAGCAGGCTTTCCCCTCCTGCTGTCCCTCTCTTCTCCCCGTCTCTCTACTCCCCGACTCCAATGGACTACGTTCCACTCTACTCCCTCTGCTCTCTCCCCTACTCCTCCGGGCCCTCCCCCACTAATGGTTTCAGACCACCATTCATGCTCCTCACCCAAGCTGCCCCCCTGTCCAATCCCAATAGGCAGCTCAGCATGTGGGGCTCGACACCACCTCCTCCAGCACCACGCCCCAGCCCCTTTAGGTGACATGCCCCGTCCCTCCAGTGGGCCAGGCCGCGTTATTACAAGATCAGGGCACTGTCCCTGAGCTTAGTGATCTCTCACTTGCTCTACAGCTCCATTTCTGACTTTTTGTTGGTTAAGTGGAGATAAAGAGTTTCAGAGACGTTCCTGCCTGGGCTGATTTTGAACCTGGAACCTCCTAACTCAGCCTCCTGACTAGCTATAGGATTTTACAGGTAAGAGCCACCTAGTGACTGGCTAGAATGTCTTTATAATGGAAGGTAGAATTATAATCACTGCGAAGAGAGAACAGTCCTAGCTTTGAACCTTGAGAATGCCTGTAGGGGAAAAAAAAATTCCACTAAAATTTCAGTAATAAACCTTGAACTGGTCGGAATGTAAAATAAAACCCCGGGCCAGTCCCCATTCCGCTCTTTCAGATGCATGACCGTTCCCAGCCGCTAGGTGGTGGCTTCCATAGCGACCGCAGTCAGCGTCCATAGCTACCGCGCGTGCGCAGGGGCCCTTCGGCGTGGCTGCCTGCTCTGCGCCTGCGCACGTGGCTGCGCTGGCGGCGTCCTCCCCGGTGCGCATTGCGCTCGTGTTCGCGCTCTCGCGTGGACGCACGGCGTCGCTCCTGGCCACGTTATTCCATATTATATATATTTTTTTTCCAAAAAAAAAAAAAAACAACGAATTTTAATTCCGGGAGTCTGGTCATTGACCCTCGGCGCCCCGTAAGATGTTCCAGCTGCCCGCCGACAGCAGCAGCAGCAGCAGCGGTGTCCCCTCGACGGGCGCAGCGAGCGGGGACGGCGACATCCCGCCAGCCGAGGTAGGCGGCGGGAGGCGGGCGCCGGCCGCGGCGCAGCCTGACGAGCACCGGGGAGGCCCGATGGCGGAGGCCCGGGGAGGCCCGATGGCGGAGGCCAGGGACGAGCCGCTGGCGGCGGCCAGGGATGGACCGGTGATCCCGGTGGCGGCGGCGGCCAGGGGAGGCCGGATGGTGACGGCCCGGGAAGGCCGGATGGCGGAGGCTAGGGGAGGAGGCCCGGTGGCGGCGGCCAGGGGCGGCCCGATGGCGGCGGCGGCGGCGGCCAGGGACGCCCGGATGGCCGAGGTAGCTCGACTTTTGGGGGAACCATTGGAAGAAGAAGCTCCCGAGAGCAGACCCCGGTCTCGATCCGGGAACGCCGGGGCGCTGGCTGCGCTGCCCTATCTCCGCCTCCGACACCCCCTTAGCGTGCTAGGCATCAATTACCAGCAGTTCCTTCGCCATTACCTGGAGAATTACCCGATCGCTCCCGGCAGGATCCAGGAGCTGGAAGAACGCCGGCGGAGATTTGTGGAAGCGTGCCGGGCCCGGGAGGCCGCGTTCGATGCCGAGTATCATCGAAATCCTCAGCGGGTGGACTTCGACATTTTAACGTTTACCATAGCCCTGACCGCCTCCGAAGTGATCAATCCCCTGATCGAAGAACTTGGGTGCGATAAGTTTATCAATAGGGAGTAGCTCCCGGGACGCCACCAACCGCTCCGAGAAAAACCTCTGCTTTCAAGTCAAATCCATCCTGCAACTTGGGTTTGGTGTTCCTTTTGGTTGTTTTTTTTTTTAAGTCTAGAGTGAGGGCCCCAGATGGAGAAAAACAACATCAGAAAAGAAATAGAGGGGCTGGGGGAGGGCGGGGGGGGGCGGGGAGAGGCAACGGTGGAGCAGCACAACCTGGCAGGCCCTAGGGCCTCCCCTCCCCTCCTCCCTGGGTTCTATTCCCAGCCCTGCAAAATAAAATAATCATCCTAATAAATATGAAGATTAGAAAAAAAAGATAATGTTGAAACCACTGGACGACTCCTGTAATGTTGACTTTTGAGTTTGTGATTGATCTAGGAGTTTGTGTTTGCTCTAGATTTTTCACCCTTTCCCTGGCATTATAAAAATGATCTCTCCCCCCCCCATGTGACTTCATGAAGAAAAATAATAATAATAAAAGTTTTGGTCGTCCCATGTGATTTCATGAAAAATAAAGGGGTTTTTGGTTGTTGTTTTAATTGAGCCTTGGATGAAGAAAAATTGCCAATAGTAGAGTCTATGAAGAAGAGCCAGATAGTGATGATAGTGAATTACAACTTGCAGTGACTCACACCTGTAATCCTAGCTGCTCAGGAGGCTTCGATCTGAGGATCACAGTTCAAAGCCAGCCCAGGCAGAAAAGTCCTCCGGACTCTTACCTCCAATGAACTGCCAGAAAACCAAAAGTGGCACTGTGGCTCAAGTGGTAGAGCACTCGCCTTGAGCTCAGGGACAGCATCCAGGCCCAGAGTTCAAGGACCATGACCTACTGGGGGGAGGGGAAGAATTATAACTAGTCAGATGCTGGTGGCTCATGCCTGTAATCCTGGTTACTCAGGAGGCTGAGATCTGAGGATCTCCATTCACAGCCAGTTCAAGCAGGAAAATCCATGAGACTCTTAGTAAACTACTCAGAAAAGGCTGGAAGTGGCACTGTGGCTCAAGAGGTAGAAGACTAGTCTTGAGCCAAAGAAGCTCAAAGACAGCGCCTGTGCCCTGAGTTCAAGCCCCTGGACAGGCTAAAAAAAAAAAAAAAAGAATTACAACTGCAGGTGTGAGCACTAGTGGCTCACTCCTGTAATCCTAACTGCTCAGGAGGCTGAAATCTGAAGATCATGGATGGAAGCCAGCCTGGGCAGGAAAGTCCATGAGACTCATCTCCAATTAATCAGAAAAAGTCAGGAGTGGCACTGTAGCTCAAGGGGTAGAGTGCTAGCCTTGAGCAAAAGTAGCTCAGGGACAGTGCCCAGACCCAGAGTTCAAGGCCCAGGATCAGAAAAAAATAAAAATAAAATTGCAACTGTATCTGTAGAACTGCAAAGCAGTGGAAAGAATTTGACTATGTTTAAGTCTGTGTTCTCTTGTGTCACTTCAAGTTTGTCCTGTGAGACTGATTTTCTGCTCCCTGAGACATTTCAAATGATAAGTATATGTTGTACATGTTACATGATAAATTGTGTAGGTTTGTTTTGTTTTGTTTTTCGTCAGTCTAGGGGCTTGAACTCTGGGCCTGGGCGCTGTCCCTCAGCTCTTCAGCTCAACACTAGTACTTTACCACTTGAGTCAGAGCGCCAGTTCTGGGTTTTCTGGTGGTTTATTGGAGATAAACTCTCATGGCCTTTCCTGCCTGGGCTGGCTTTGAATGTCAATCCTTAGATCTCAGCCTCATGAGTAGCTAGGATTACAGGCATGAGCCACTGGCGCCAGGCCAATACATTGTGTTTTTAAAACTACACAGGTTTTTTTTTTTCCTTTTGTGTTTTTGTTTTGTGCCAGTTCTGGGGCTTGAACTCAGGGCTAGATGCTGTCCTTTAGGTTTTTTGTTTTGTTTTCTTTTGTTTTTGCTCCAGTGCTCCTGCTCTGCTAGAGCCACAGCTCCATTTCTAGCTTTTTGGTAGTTAATTGGAGAGAAGAAGCACATGGACTTTCCTGCAAGGACTGGCTTTGAACTGTGATCCTCAGATCTCAGTCTTCTGGGTTGCTAGGATTACAGGCATGAGCCCTCAGCACCCTGCTATAAAATACAGAACTTTTTGATTATTCATTTCTTTTTTAACATTTTTTTATTGTGAAAATACTGTACAGAGAGGTTACAATTACATGGGCAAGATAATGAGTACATTTCTTATCAAGCATTGTAGCCTCCTCCTTTGTTTCCCCTTCCCATCCCTTCCCATCCTCCCCCCACTCACCCAATCCTCCTTCTTGATTATTCATTTCTTTTACTCAGTTTGTAATCTTTATATTTTTTTGGGGGGGGGGTCCAGTCATGGGGCCTGAACTCGGCCTGGGCGCTGTCCCTCAGCTCTTCAGCTCAAGGCTAGCGCTCTACCACTTGAGCCACAGCGCCACTTCCGGCTTTTTTCTTTTTGCTTATGTGGTACTGAGGAATTGAACCCAGGGCCTCATACATGCAAGGCAAGCGCTCTACCACTGATCCACCTTCCCTGCCCATATGTTGCATTTTCATTAAGAAATTATCTCAATCTCCCATGGCTCACTCCTGTAATACTAACTACTCAGGAGGTTGAGATCTGAGGATCATGGTTCAAAGCCAGCCCTGGCAGAACATCCATGAGACTCTGATCCCCAATGAATCAGAAAACTAGAAGTGGACCTGTGGCTCAAAATGACAGAAGGCTAGCCTTGAGAAAAAGAGCTCAGGGACAGCGTCCAGTCCCCTTGACTGACAACAACAACAAAATTTATCTTGAGCCAGGCAATGGTTACTCATACCTGAAATCCTACCTACTTAAGAAACTGAGATCTGAGGGTTGAGGTTCAAAGCCAACTCAAACAGTCAAGTCTGTGATATCATTATCTGAGTTAACCACCAACAAACCTGAAATGGAGTTGTAGCTCAAGTGGTAGAGCCCTAGCATTGAACACAAGAGCTCAGGGATATTGTTCAGGCCCGGAGTACATGTGCACACACGCATGCACACACATGCACACACACAAGAAATGTTAAAGATGGGCTGGGAAGGTGGCTCAGTGGCAGAGCGCTTGACTTGCATGCATGAGGTCCTGGGTTCGATTCCTCAGCACCACCTAAGCAAAAAGAAAAAAGCTGGAAGTGGCGCTGTGACTCAAGTGGTAGAGCGCTAGCCTTGAACGGAAGATCTGAGGGACAGCGCCCAGGCCCAGAGTTCAGGACCCACAACTGGACCAAAAAAAGAAATGGCTGGGAAGGTGGCTTAGTGGTAGAGTGCTTGCCTAGCATGCATGAAGCCCTGGTTCAATTTCTCTGTACCTCAGAAAATAGAAAAAGCCAGGGGCTGGGAAGGTGGCTTAGTGGTAGAGTGCTTGCCTTGCATGCTTGAGGACCTGGGTTTGATTCCTCAGCACCACATAAGCAGAAAAAGCTGGAGGTGGTACTGTGGCTCAGCTAGCCTTGTGCTGAAGAGCTGAGGGACAGCACCCAGGTCTAGAGTTCGGGTCTCATGGCCGACCAAAAAAAGAAAAAGAAGCTCTGTGGCTCAAGTAGTAGAGTGCTAGCCTTGAGCAAAAGAAGCTGAAGGACAGCTCCCAGGCCCTGAGTCCATGTCCCAGGACTAGCAAAGAATAATAATAATTAAAAAAAAAACGTTGGTTTTTTTTTTAAGGCAACTGAAGGGCTGCTTCAAGTTTGCACATGTAAAATCTGCAGAGTGCCGTTAAGAAGGGAGTTGGAAGCGGCGCCCTAGTGGCTCAGGCCTGTCATCCTAGTTATTCAAGAAGCTGAGATCTGAGGATCTCGGTTCGAAGCCATACAGGGCAAGAACATGAGACTCCTCTCTCCAAGGAACCACCAAAAAACTGCATGTGGAGCTGTGGCTCAAGTAGTAGAGCGCTAGCCTTGAACATAAGCAGCTCTGGGACAGCGCCCTTAGGACCGTCACACACTAAAAGGAAAAAAAAAAAGCGAGCTGGAACAAAATCTTACAGGGCACTCCCTCCCAATACTGAACTCAGACTCGGGTTGCAGACGTAGTGGCACCTGGAGACGCTAGGGGACGCTCGAGGACCACGTAGACCTGCACCAACTCACGCATGCGCAGTGGCTTCCCTGCGGGCGCCGAACCTCCACGCACGCGCATCGCGCCCTGGCGGACGCCGAGCCTCCACACATGCGCCCAGAGGAGCTCTACGAGTGCTGGTGCGTTGCCTAAGACCACGGCGCGGTGCCCGGGCGGTACGGGACGACCATGTCCGAGCTGCGGGGACGGCGCGGCCTCCCGGCGATGAGCGCCGTGGACGATGACATCCGCGAGGTGCTGGACGCGGGAGCGAGCGGCCGGTTTCTGGCTCGGGAGATGCAGGCGATTCTGTTGGCCGAGGCGGCCCGATCCCGGCGGGTCCCGGGCCAGGCGTCGGCGCCGCCGCTGCACGACCCCCCCGGGCTGCTGGCCATCCGCGAGCGCATGTTCCACCACTACCTGACCCACTCGCCCAGGATCCCGGTCCGCATCATGCGAGACATCGAGGAACGCCGACGGCTGTTCGTGGAAGGCTGCCGGGCCCGGGAGGCGGCCTTCGACGCGGACCCCCCGGAGCTGCGCCCCGACGCGCTTGCCTTCACCCTGGCCCTGGCGGCCCAGCACGCCCGCGGCC